CTTTACTTATTTTTAGTAATTTTTTTCTAATTTCTATATCTTTTTTCTCTATGTTAATTTAGTTACTTAATTAAACAGGGAAAGAAAAACCTGGGCTTCAGAACATTTCAACATTTTAAGGCGAATTGCAATGGTAAAAATGAAAATCCTTTCAAGGCTCAGTTTTTTATTTCAATGCCTCCCAATAGAAATTCCAGAACAATTTTTAAGATATTGGTGAAGAAGAAGAGGAAGAAGAGTTTCTGCTTTCATGCAAAAAAAAAAAAAAACTGACAATAAATAAAAGGATTTGATATAGACCTCAGAAACAGGAAGGCTGCAGTATACCTAATTTGATAATATATTATCAAGCAGTACAGCTAGGACATATGATTCCATTCATTATTCCATCTACTCTTCTAAACCATGGATCCAGATGCTTCAATTATGGAAGATTAAATACATAACTTTGATAAAGGATACTTTTCTTTTAACTCCCTTAATAACGTATATAGATCAGGATAATTACTATGGCCCAGCTAAAATGAATGATAGAATACAATCTTTACAGAGTAAAAATTTTTTAGAGTAATAGAGAATCTCTCAATAAAGATCAGATAGTTACCATGGTTCTTCTGGTATCAACTCAAATCTCTTTTGGACAATAGGAATGCTAAAGCTTCAGGAACACAGCCTTATACCAATTTTGAGATTTTAATACTTAACTACTTAGAACAACCAAAAGGAACAGTCTCAAAAATTTATAAGTTGTTATTGCAATTAAAAATAGGAGATCCACCCCATGGTTTGAAGGAAGCTTGAGACACTGATCTTGGCAAATCCATACAGGAGACAAATTGGCAGGAAATATGGAAACTGGGTGGATTCATCTCAGCTTCAATGCAAGAATTGCAGAGGAAGATTATACATCATTGGCACTTGACACCAGTCAGATTGATATATATCAAAATTATTCTTCCAAATGTTGGAGAGGGTGTAAAAAAATAAATAAAGCATCATTCTTTCAGTTGTGGTGATCATGCAATAAAGCTATATCCTTTCAGCATGAATTTGTTGGGAAGATAAGTACCATTACTAAAGAATTGAATGCTCCCCAGAGTTAGGCTGACTGCATTTATTTACAGGACCAAATTTCAAGCTTAAAAATAAGGAACTTATTGTCTATTTAATTTTAGAAGCTAAAATAAAAATTGCCCAACATTGGAAAACTCTAGATAACATAACAGTTGAGATGTGCATTAACAACACCTCTTCAATTGCCACATTAGAAAATATCACAAAGTTAAAATAACGAGATATCAGAGGCAGGAACCACAATTTCATCAAATTTGGAAGGATTTTTTTATTTACCTCAATAGCAATAAACCATAATATGGTAATACTTTATATACAGTGGTACCTCGGGATACGAACTTAATGCGTTCCGTGACTCTGGGTGTATCCCGAGTTGGTCGTAACCCGACGCAGACTTTGATACGAACTTAATGCGTTCCGTGACTCTGGGTGTATCCCGAGTTGGTCGTAACCCGACGCAGACTTTGATACGAACTTAATGCGTTCCGTGACTCTGGGTGTATCCCGAGTTGGTCGTAACCCGACGCAGACTTTGATACGAACTTAATGCGTTCCGTGACTCTGGGTGTATCCCGAGTTGGTCGTAACCCGACGCAGACTTTCCCATAGGGTTCAATGTAAATCCGGTTAATCCGTTCCGCCCTCCGAATTTGATCGCACCCTGAAGCAAATTTTCCCATAAAGTTCAATGTAATTACTGTTAATCCGTTCTGGCGTCCGTGGACCACGTGTCAGGGGTGGGAGAACGGCCGGGCGCCACACGGCGGGAGAACGTCCGGGCGCCGTGCGGCGGGAGAACGGCCGGGCGCGGCGTGGTGGGAAAATGGCCACGGACCACGTGTCAGGGGCGGAAAAATGACCGCGGACCACGTGTCAGGGCAGAAAAATGACCGTACCCCAAGGCGGAGTTCGCAGATCAAGGTAAATTTTTGCAGCCGGAGCTGGTCGTAACCCGAAAAGTTCGTTTGTAGAGGCATTCGTATCCCGAAGTACCACTGTATATGATAAATTTGTACATGTACAGGTGTCTTTACTTATTTTTAGTAATTTTTTTCTAATTTCTATATCTTTTTTCTCTATGTTAATTTAGTTACTTGATAATGTTTGTTAATTATAGTTCAATTATAAATAAATAAAGTATTGCTAATTGGCTGTTGAAGCCAATACAGGTAGTCCTTGCTATCCAATGACAATAGGGACTAGAATTTAGGTCACTAAGCAATTTGGTTGTTAAGCGAATCAGAGCTGATTTTATGATCTGTTTACACTGGTCATTAAGCAAATCACTGCAGTCATTAAGTGAATCCAGCTTCCCCAATGGACTTTTTGGCTGGAATTTGCTTAATAACCATGTGATTCACTTAACTATCACGTGATTCACTTAGCATCTGTCATTTAAAAAAAAGGTCACAAATTGTGATCATGTGACCATAGGGGTTGTAAAGTACTTCTCTCAAGGCCATCGTAACTCCGGACCGTCATTATGAATTATCGTTACGCAAGGACTACCTATACCAGATGTATTCTAGCTAGGAACATTAGTTGAATTTGTTTACCCATACAGTCATGTAATTAGAAATTGGGGGATGGGGCTGTTTTCTATAAAAAAAAAAAAAAAAACTTTGATACTGTCAGTGACTGTAAGTGGTCATTCACATCAGGAATCCGTATACCTACTCAATTATTATCATTTATTAAATTTATATGTGTCAAATAATATTAGAATATTTTATCATTCATAGCCTCAAATAAAACATAATGTAAAAATTACTAGGCAAAATAACTGTCAGCCGGGGGACAGTGTATCCCAAACTAAGGATAAATCTATATTTTCTCTGTGGCTATGGCAAAGAGCTTCTTGTCTTGCAGCGATAATTAATTTTTTTTTTTAGTTAATTGATATATTGGCCTTTAAGGTACTGATAAATTCAGCTCTAAATGGCCTATCTAGGACTGTAGAGGCTGAGTTTCTTGGTTTTCTGAAAAGTCCTAAGCAATGAAACAGTCTGGGAGATACTTAGAAGAAAACTACAGTAAGACTCACAATTAGGCAAACCAGACATGTTGTCTGGCTTGAAGACCACAAAACAAGACTTCCTTTGAAGCCACTATTATATCTTTATATATTTATCTGGCAGCGATTCCATCCTAGGAGCTATGCTAAAAAAATGCAGTCTAAATCTTCCTTTACTATGTTGTGCCACTTTGTCCATATGGAAGCCATTTGTTTTTAATGTAAGCTTTATGAATTCTGCACTGAATATCCAATAGAGACTATTTTGGGGTTTGCTAAAAAGAAAGTTAAGAAAGTGGTAAGGATGGTAGAGATTTATTTATTCACAGGTGAAATATTGCCACATAACACCAGGTCAACCCAGATGAATGGCATAGTTTTTCTTCTAATAGTTGTTGTTGTTGTTGTTATTATTATTAAATAACTAACAGTGGAGATTTTGGCTCATAGATTCAAATTCTTTCTCATATTGTTATAGTAATTTAGCATCCTTTGTTTTTTATGGTTAATTTCTCATTAATGAATTACCGAGTACTAACTGTACAATCTCAGTAATTCCTTTGTACACTTACTGATATTATATTTTGCATCAATTATTTTTTCCTTTTTTGCTTTTCTTCTTTCACTTATTCTTTTTTTCTTCTTTTAAAAAATGGTTAATAAACATTTTTTTAAAATTATTTGCCCCCCCACTTGCACCCCCTGCAGATGTCCATGCCTCTGACCACCACACATCCAGGGCCTAATATTTGTTTGTTTAGTGACCTAATCTTTGAACCCACAACATTTAAACAATGTGTTATTTTGCATAAAACAATATCCAAGTATGTGTACAAGTGTTTAAAAAATAGTAGCACTTTTGCCAACAGTTTAGTCATGAGTGATTGGATTGGTCTCTGGATGCATACCTGCATACATTTATAAAATAAATGCTTCTCTGACTTATGTTTAATTTCTGGTTCTGGCTTGTCTCATGTTTTACAGCACTGATAGCCATTGGAAGATACAGTATGACAATAGAGACAGTTGATGTGGGGTGGTGCAAAGAAATCACAGATCAGGGAGCCACCCAGATTGCTCAGACTAGTAAATCACTCAGATACTTGGGACTGATGAGATGTGATAAGGTAAGAAACTTTGTATAAAAAACCAATGTGATATCTCCATGTGTTTTACAAGCCAGATTCATATATGTAATTATCAAGCAAAACAGTAAATGCAAATTATGTATGTGATCTTTTGGTCCTGATCTGCTGTTTAATATTGAAGTTATGATGCTAACATAGTTTTTAAAAAGTTTCAACTTTCTGAATTTCCTAATTTCTTACTGTGTCAGACAAGGCATTCATTAATATAATCATCTGCCTAGACTTAAAATAAAAAATCTAAAAATAGCCCCTGCCTTCAAAAAGAACAAAAAGTATGGCTTCTAAAAAGAAATAATTTTGCCTCACATTTCTTGTTCATAAATCATCATTTTGAAAACATATGATTCAAGAAGCTTAAAATATCTACTTAAGATAAAACTACAATTTAACCATTATTTATTATTAAATTTTCCATACATTATGGACAATTTCTTGTTTATTCAAAAACACCTTTAAATACTTCTCCTTACTACATTATTTTTTAAGAACAAATTATAGAGATTAAACTTTTTAGAAGTTTCTAAGCTGAAGAAACAACTGTTTTGTTAGTATGTTTTGTTGACAGAGCATACTAACTTATCCCTGAATGTTTTGTAAGAGGCAAGAGGAGAAAAGTACAGGTAGTCCTCGTTTAGCAACCACAACTGGGACCAACAACTTGGTCATTAAGTGAAGCAGTTGCTAAGTGAAACTGTAAATGTGCTTATGATCTTACTTCAGCTTTCCTTTGCTTTATGGACCTGCAGAGGTAATAAATATGAGGATTAGTAGCAAAGTTACTTTTTCATCACCATACTGCAAAAGGTTGCTGTACGAGGCAGTTGCTAAATGAAGATGACCTATACCTGAGAGTCTTATTTGATGATTAGTGCTAAAAATATCTGCTTAATTGTTAAAAGAATGTTTTGATCCCTTGGATTTAAGTTAGGTCTTCAATTACCTTTTCATTACATATTACATATATTTCTTTTGTCCGTTTAATTAAACTTGCTTGTACAATAAAGGAACCTTTAAAAAAAAGCCTGTTTGTCCTGTCTTGAACTACTAAAATTGTCAGTGCCCTTGGTGTTGTAAACAGATTTTAGTATGCCATCAGTTAAACCATGTATAATCTAAATACAGTATTGTCTGTATTCCTTTAATTGCTTGCTTATGTTTTCCCAACTTCCTACAAAAAGAACTGCATGCTGTGAAGGGAGACAACTAAGCTAGCAAGAATAAGAATCTGTGAGAATGCTACAGAGCAAGTAGGGAAAACTGTTCTTGATTAATGGAGAAATATACATTGGATATCTTGATGAGAATGCTATAAAGTGTGGCATAAGAGACACCATTGGGGGTCATTTAACTTGCTTGTTAAACCTCTGTGTGCAAGGGAAAGCTGAAAATAGCCATAAAAAGAACAAAATTTCAGAAGCTGTATCCTGAATTTAAAATGTTTTAGATGCAATGTTGGCAGCTTTAAGAGTTCCATTCCTCTTTCATAGTCAGAAAATAGAGAACTTCTCTTCCTTAACTTTTCATACTTCATGCAGAATTCATTTATTATTCCAACTAATGCTTTTAGAACATCATTAAAGTAATATTTGGCAAGTAGGGAAGGTTATTAAATGCCATTGTGACAAAAAGATCTTCATCCATGCACTTGGATGAGAAAACAGACATGGAAGAAAAAGTCATCAACACAAAGACTACAAGGAATACATACCAAAAGATTTCAGTACTCTCCACCAAAATATTCTTTTATGACATAATCTCTTTGGAATTTCTTTCATGTGTACTTGATATAAATTTAGAATTACGAAGTCCTAGCCAAACAAGCTCAGAGAAACTGCAGGGCTTGGCTAAGGGCAGCCTCTGTTTGATTCCATCGATTATATAACTGGCTCTAGGCTACATATTCCATTAGTGGCTATGCTATTGATCCACCCTATGAAAATAATCAGATTAATTTGTTTTTTATCAAGTTTCCATTATTGTGGTTCTTTTGATTTCCATATATAGAATTGAAGCAACTGCTTTAAGGAATAAAATGGCTTATTAATAATATTAAGTAAAATACTGTTTTATTGTTCAGTCAAGTCAAGGAGGGGAATAGTTCCAAGGTAAATCATTGCTTGAGAACAATAGCATCTTAGGCAACTTTTCCCAGTTTGCCTAATTCCTCTAGATTTGCCGGATCAAAACCCTTTCAGAATTCCTAATCAGTATGAGTCTAGAATCTTGGAATGTGTAGTCTTAACATATTTCAAGGGTACCAGATTGGAAAAAGGTTGAAGAGTAAATATTTTATATAATTACTCCACTAAGGTAGAATAGGAATATTAGTCAACACTATTACTGGATAGAGCTAAGAACTGTGTGCTGTTAGCTGCCTGAGTGAGTAAGGAGTTTCTCCATTTCTGGGATGAAAATACTGCACGTGACCTAGCCTAGGTCTTCTAGATGAAAATCACCTAGATGGGAAGTTTTTTTGGTTTTGTTTTTTTGTTTTGAAAAGAAGCTGTTTCCATTAATGGAATAAGGGGATCCTGATTTATCTTTCTCCCTAGAGCTTGCCATGTAACCTCAAAATCCATTGTGGGACAGATTTTGAGAATATGTGGGAGGAATGCAGGGAGGAATAAAAGAAAATAACATTTTGTGGGTGACAAAATCCCAATTGAATATGGCCAAGGTTGTTGAAAGATGGGTTCCCGCTACTCTTGATGTCTTAAATCTTGTGAGATCTCAAATTTTATCAGATTTCAGTGATCTCATCCTGAGTATGTGGAATATCATGAAATCTGTTTCTGTGAAATGTTTAATCAAGAATCAAGACATTTATAGATTTTTATTTATTTAAAAATGCTTTTAAATAGAAAGTACAAAGCAGTGAATAGCAATATATAAATGGCAATAAAAACAAACATAAACAGAATATACCATGCTTATATATGAAAGATAAAAAAATACATGTCTTAAACTTAGGAAAAATCTTCATTTCAAAATAGCCAACAGTTTAGAATTTCCAAAAAGCACAAATCATGAGTACTGTTACATCTATTGTCTTCCATTAGTGCATACCAGTTCACTGCCTCACATGACTATGTTTAAATATATATTTATTTTAAATCGTAAAAATAGGAAGCTGGAATTGTGCCAAACAAAGCACCAGCTTGCAGCATCATTAAAAAAAGAATTCCAGTAGTTCCTATGGGCCCCATATGTAGAAAATACTTGTATAGACAATATTAATTGAATAATTAATTGGGGGTGGGTGGCACGGTCTTGTGCTGGTTCGCCTCCTTTCTCCGGGGCCGATCCCAATCAGTGGTGATAGGGAGTGAGAGGTCCCATCCTCGGCCCCTCTTTGTGGGGTGCCGCAGGGTTCGGTTCTCTCTCCGCTCCTTTTCAACATCTACATGGGCGAGATCATCCGTCATCATGGGGTGAGGTATCATTAGTATGCTGATGATACACAACTATACATCTCCATCCCTGGTGAAGTAAGTGATGCCGTGGCCACCCTTTCGCAGAGGCTGTAAGGGTTTGGATGGGGAACAACAGGCTTCAGCTGAACCCTGGTAAGACAGAGTGGCTGTGAGTTAATGGCTCCTCTGTATCCGTGATTTTGTCATCTTTGGTGCTGGATGGGGTGGCACTGCCCCAGACAGACCCAGTGCATAATCTGGGGGTCCTCCTAGACTCACGGCTCCTGCTTGAAGAGCAGGTGGCAACCGTAGCCAGGAGGGCCTTTGCACAACTTCGGGTTGTGCATTAGTTACGCCCTTTCCTGGATCAGGATGCCCTTCAAACAGTCACGCACACCCTTGTTATCTCCCAGATAGACTACTGCAATGCGCTCTACATGG